TTATTTGTTTCAGAGGTACGGGTCTGTGATTAATCAGTCTTACACAATTCACAGCGCTCACCATAGCACATACCCTCCCCAATGTCTATCACCCAGCCGCCCCAACCCTCCCACCCCCCACCACTCCAGCAACCCTCAGTTTGTTTCCTGAGATTAAGAATTCCTCATATCACCTGTCTCTTTCCTGATCGCCCTACTACCCTCTCTGGTGGTTGGCTGGTACAGAGCAGGCTCTCAAAGGTATTTGTTGAATGAATGTGGCTGAATGTGACTGAAGTTATTTGTTAAGCCCATGAACGATCTATCAGAACTGTGTGCAGGACTTTGCAGCAGTCCTCTTAAAACAAAAATTCCTGCACAAAGTATCATTTATGAAATATATAACCAGTAGATCAGATATACACCATACCTCACTCTACTCAGTGTTGCAAATTTCAAATCGATGGATTTGTGGTTCTTAGTCTATCCCCTGTCCTAATCCCTTGACCTAAACCGCCAAAGCACCGCCTGGAATCTTTGCTTGGGCTCTAAATGTTACATGGCTCCAGCATTCCAACGCGGGTTCTCCCTGCATACAAGCGTTGTCAGGGCTCTCTTTAACCTCGGAGCTGCAGTGTCCCGCGAACCTAGCGTGGTTGCGTTTGTTCCCTAATACTTAATGACTCCAAATGCGGTGACACTATGGTGCCTTTAAGGCCTGTCCACCTCCAGTTCTCTATGCTCTAACGCCCGGAAAAGAGGTTGACACACGAAGCGTTCTCTGTGGCTGCAAACATGCTTAGCCGGCACAATCACTAACAGCATGAGTGTGCAAGTCAAAGAAGTACCTTGCCAGTGTCACATCCCGACTGTTTCTTTAAACGCCACAGGATCCCTATCACAGAACAAAACAAGACAAACATACAACCGTAAACCAAATTTGTCAGTGATCCCCGTTGCGTCCTAGTCGTGCCAAGACGGGTGGTTAAAGTAGGCCGGTTGTTTTAAAGATGTTTCCAGCCAAAGGCAAAGCTATCTTCAGAGAGGTTCTACACCCACGTGGCTCGCGCAGACGCTAACTACTAAGAGGCTGAGAAACGTGCAGCCGGGGAGCCTGCCAGCGCGGCGGGAATAAACTGGCACCTCCAGAAATAAAGCTCCGCAGCCAATGCGGCGCCTCGGCCCGCGGGATTGGCTGCCCCGGCGGTGACGTCGCCTGGGCGGGCCAAGTCGGTTTGCGACAGAGGCCGCGGCTCCCGCTCGGGGGAGCCGAGAAGAGGGGATCCGCCACCCAGCGCTCGGCCCTCGAGCCCGCTCTCCGCCAGCCCGGAAGCTTTCTTCCTTCTCCGCGCGTCTCGCCCGCGCCGCGGAGTCTTGGCAAGGGATCCCGGCGGGTGTGTGAGCCCGGGAGCAGCGGAGCCCCGCGCGGCCACGACTCCCCAGCGTGAGGGCGGCAGGGGACGCCGAGGTTTGGCCTGCGGGCGCGCGGCGGGCGCGGGGCGGTTCCCCGGAGGGTGGCCAATCTGTGCGCGACCGAGGCGGGATTTTCTCTTCCGCTAGCTCTGACCCGGCCCGTGCCCCAGCCGCGGCTCCTGCAGGAGAGAGCCGAGGGGAGCTGCGGCAAGCGCGACGGGCCGCGGGTAGATGCGGCAAATGAAAGGGGATCCGAAGTGCCTGGCGCGGCCGCGGCCGCGACGTGCAGCTGCAGCGCTGGGGGAGAGGCCCGCGGAGCGCTCGGCTTGGGCAACTTCACTTTTCCCGCCGCTCGAAAACTGGTGGAGTGGAGAGGTGCAGAGGGCTTGGTGAGGGGCTTGTCATGAAATCTTCACTGGAGCCCCCTCTCCTTCTCGAGCGTGGAGGCATTGGTGCTCAACAGGAGATTGAGAAAGCTTGGGAAACTCTCGTGTGAAGAAACGCGGTGGTGAGGGGTGGGAATCGTGGGGACCCCCGGGAGCGCGCGGTCGCGGATCTGCCGTGCGAGGCGCAGCGCCCGGCGGGGCTGAGCGCTGAGATTTGGGGAAGTGGGAGCCGCGCGGGCTGAGCGTCCCGAGGAGAGGCGGCCACGCGGTGTGTTTCCTTTCACTTCCTGCAGCAGCTGCTCGCTATGAGGAGGGCGGCGGGCCTCGGGCGGAGCGGCCGCGTCCCGCGGGCTTGAGCGCCCACGCGCCGCCGCAGCCGCCGCGGGGGCGGCCCCGACCCCCCTGCGCTTTCGGCCATGAGCTCTCGGTGAATACGCGGCGTGGGCAGTCGTGGACCTGACCCTTCGAGAGGTAACGCTGGCTCAGGTTTGAGTGGCCTGCGAGAGTGAAAAAACCCTAACATGGAGGACTTTTCCACCAGGACCTATGGCACCAGTGGCCTGGACAACAGACCTCTGTTCGGAGAGACGTCGGCCAAGGTGAGTGCGGACCTGGATTCCGGGCTGTGTGTGTGTGTGTGTGTGT